CACACACACACACACACACACACACACACACACACACACACACACACTCCAGTGGTTCGTCGAGTCATGCTCTCCTCACACGTTTCCGTACGGACAGTACGAGCCTCTGGAGACGGGCAGTTGGCTCAGTTCCAGCTAGACGTAAATGCTGACGGTGCACTCTTTCCGCAGTGACGTTGATAAATTCTCAGCTTCTGTCCCCCTTTTTAAATTTTTTTTTTTTATTACAGCATTATCGGCATACCAGAGGTACTACAGTTTACAGTCAGACTACTGGAAGGTAAGCGACACACGCACGCTCACTTTCTCTTTCAGCTAGTGATATTCTCACACACACACACACACACACGCGCAATCTTTCTTTCCTTTCCACTCGCTCGTGCACAGGAAGCCCGTATGGTTTCGCACTGGTGTGAAATGCGGTTTCAGGTTTCACCAGGTTTCGGAGTCATTTTGTGCTCCTTTCCCGTTCAGTTGACACTTTGCGGTGAGATTGATGGCTACTTGTTTGTTTTCTGAACCACGTAGCTGCAGGGTTCTGTAAACATGTATGGGACATTTGATTACATTGCGAGCTGGGTATTGGGTTTCTTTGTTAGTCTTATAAATCTGTATTTAGTTTTTTATTGTAGCTATTTCTCATAACGCCCTTGCGCCTCTCACCCTCCTACCCAGAATGCTGCCTTTCTGTACGGCCTGGGAATGGTCTACTTCCACTATAATGCCTTTCAGTGGTGAGTACCAACCGTCCGCACGCACTCCTCGACTGTCCACCATCATCCTATGCCGTCTCTTTAATGTGATTTTCTTACTCAGGGCGATCAAAGCATTCCAGGAGGTGCTGTACATTGATCCGGGTTTCTCCCGGGCCAAGGAGATCCACCTGCGCCTCGGTCTCATGTTTAAGGTCAACACAGACTACGAGTCAAGCCTAAAGGTCGGTCCCCCCCCCCCCCCCGAAACCGCTGTAACGCACAATCCGGGGCTCTATCGTGATGTATTATTACGTGCTTTTACTGATTCCTACCCGTGTTGTCTCTCAGCATTTTCAGCTGGCTTTGATTGACTCCAACCCCTGCACTTTGTCCAAAGCTGAAAGTAAGCACCTTTCTTATTTATTTATTGACTTGTTCATAAAAGAAAGCGCCCAGTCGAGGAAATAGCCCGTTTTGTTTCTTCTTCGTGTGATTATTTGGCACATCAATGTTTTTCTGAACCGTTGTTTTTGCCGCAAGTATTACACTGCCAATAAAGCAGCTTTTTCGAGCGAGGTAGATTTATTTATTTTTGAGCGTTCACACCTTAATAGGCATCAACCAATCACGCCGTGCCGAAAGGACATATGTGGAACCAAGACGGCAAAGTTTGAGTTCTTTCGACCAAACTCCTTACCTTTCAAAATAAAAGCCTTCGACAGATAAACTCAAATTCCCTCAGAGCATCGGTAAAAATAAACTCCATTAGATGGCTTACAGTAGCTCAGGCTATACCACAATGTGACACGCACAGCTCATTACAGCTGCAACAACCGCTGCATCTTCTCCAGCGACCTAGAAAACTGCAGCAATATCTAATTATTTATTTTTTGCACCAGCGTATAGCTGTTTGCCTCTTTGTGTCCCC